CTCCCTGCTGCCTCTGACCCCTCGGTGCTGCCCAGGGCTGCTGGAGCACAGGATCAGTAGCTTCCCCCTCGTAACACTGAGCACAAGAAACTGTGTTTAATGCATTTCCTCAGGTGCTGGGTGAACCCCAAGCAGCCGACCACCTCATCTTTGTTTCCACAGGGGCAGCCACGATCCTGCAAAACCGGTGACTGAAATGTCAGGAATGTCTCCAAAATCAAACAATACCAGAGCCCACCTCCTGCTCTGTTTCCAAGGGAAAGCTCTTTCTAAAAAAGACTGCCAGCCTTGCTCAACTGTTTGAAGAATGATCCCAGTTTCTTACCTTCAAATTAAGTTGCAAAGTAAGTCCTTAAGACATGAGATCTAGCACAGGTTTGGGTTTTATTTTCCCTTTTTCTTGGTCTGAYTACTTAAGCCCTCTCTGAGTTTCCCACCATTTGAACCTAATGTTATCTCATACGTGCAGTCGTCATCTCATTAAAGGGAAATCAGAGGAGCTGACTTTAATAAATTTTAACACCCTGTGTGAAAAATCTGGCAATTAAAGCTTCCTGCCCCTGGACCTTTGAAAATGACACGTGGCAAATCCCCTTCAGACTTTAATAAGAGCGGCTCATCAAAGGGTGGTGGCACACGGGGGTAGGAGAGGAGGCAGGGGAAGGGGAGAAACAGCAGCATCAGAACTGAGAGGGACTGAAAGACAAAAGCTGACCCTCCTGCCAGACACTGAGGAGGGAAAAAGCGTCATTAGAGACTGGTAAGCCCAGATAATTCCGGAGAAAGGAAGGCAGGATGGAGGTGAGTCCAACCAGGCAGCACCAGGAATGCGTCATTTCATTGAGACCCCCAAGTGTAATCCTGCCAGGATTTTTGTGGTTGATGCTGGGCTCACAAAATATTCTGGATGACAGCAAGCAGGGTTGTGCACCAGGCTGGCTGCTCTTCTGTAGACCTTCTGGGAAAACATCCTTGAGATAAATATATCATCAGGATAAATACACCCTCCTTGCTGCCCATTGATAACAACCTGTCCAGGGATAACCACTTTAGAGACTGTTTTTCTGGAGAAATGGTTTGTGTTTTTTTATTTTATGGATGAGGAGAAACAGGCAGATTTTATCACTGCTGAAGCTTGGCCATTGAGAAGGAGATGTAGTAACCATGTGTTCAACCTCCCTGTATTCAGATGGGAATGTCTCAAGATTTCTTSGTCCTTCCAGCTCCTTCTGAAACCCTGAGCAGGTTTTCTGAGCTCTCAATCATCTGGTATTTGTACAAATGAAAATTATGATCTTCACTCCCATTCCCTTATGAGTCATCTCGAAAGCACATAAAGTAGCAGCATATTAGAAGAAAGGCACAAAGAATATATTATGGTGGGACCTAGACTCTGGCATCTCTTAATCTGGGGCTAAAAGCTTTCTTTTTGCTTTTTCTCCACTTCTTTATTATCGAGTTCTTCCAGGATAGCAAGAGATGAAGGGGATCTTAAGAGAGAAATCACTGATTTTGTGCACAGGCCGGTGATACTCAAGCAGGGAGGAGCTGATGATGGACTGGAACTCATTAGCAAGAAAATCCTCAGGTGCCTCATAAAGCCTCTCCTCTGAGTCTGCTGAAGTGATAACATCACTGGAAGAGATTTTTCTGACTAGGAATGGCCAACCAGGGACTATTGGTTTGATTAGATTGCACTGAAGCTTCACATCACACCTGAAATACAGACTGTGGAGCCAACAGAAGKTTGTGAGGAGACCAAGACAGGAGATTGTGGTGCAGCTTGGCTTCTGCCCAGCATCAGAGGCAGGTGAAGGTGAGCCACAAGCTGAAAATGGACAGTGTAGTTTCTGGAGAGACATGAGGGATTTGCTGTGAGCAAGGCTGGGGAGCCCAAAATGATGCAGAGCAACTGAAAAAAGGAGAGTTTAAAGTAGGTCTGGGGTAAGTAACCAGGATAGCATTGCCTCTTCCCCTCCAGAGGGAAGGAAAGCTGGTCAGCATGCAAACACAAAGCTTGGTAGCCATGTGGAGAGGGGTTACTGCCTTTGTTTGCCTCCACGAGCACAGAAATGCTGCAGGAAAACTTTTATATTGAGGGCTGTTGATCCATTCTTCTTGGAGTACCCAGATTTCATGTGCTCCTGTCATTATATAGTCCCTGTGACCATGTCTTCCACCCCATCTCTCCTATTACACGTTTTCCTGCCTGGAGCAATGCTGTCACTGGGATAGGAGTGTTTCTGTCAAAGGGAAGTGTCTCCTGTCCCGTGTGATGGGCACACAGCCAGAGGACAGATCTTCCCTTCTCCCCATGGTGTTTCCTCCCACATCTCTAGTCCTCTCCTTGACATCTAGCATCCACTCAAGGTCAGGATTCCGGTTTATCCCTCAGATTCAAGCCCTGTTTGTGCCTCTTGGTCTTTAGGGAAGATGTATCTCTTCTATTCAGTTGGCCCTTGCTGACTGAGGCAGAGCCCAGACGGTTTTTGGTGACACTGACCCTGCTCCATGTGCTTGCAGAAGCAATGTGCTGCACATGTGTGTTTGTAAAGGGGGYGAGAGGCCACATTTCTCCACCAAGATCTTTGAAATTTTGTAAAAAYAGAGGAGAACGCAGCTGTCCTGCACACAGACTCACCCAAAACCTGCACAAACACCAGCTCTGCCCCAGGGACAAAGCCCAGGGGACAAGCACAGGCAGGGCAGCACAATCACTCTCCCCTCTCGTTTAACCCCACTCCAGAGCCTCTTTTGTGACCCCCAGTCCCAGCACTCCCCAAAAATGCTGACCTGCAGCAGCCACTCACACAAGGAGGGATAAGCCAGCAGAGTCCCTGCCTGCTGGGTGGCCCAGGCCCCTCCTGTGCCATTTCACAGAAGGTTTTTGCTCTGGCTTTGCTGTTTCAGGAGGTGTCAGTCCCCATTAGGTGTGAGGGGATGCTCAGCTCCTGTCACAGCACATCCTGCACCCTGAGCACCTCTGGATCCAGACCCAGACAAGCGCTCCAAGCACCTCGGCTCTCCTGTCCTCCAGATTTTTCCTGGCACAAACCTTTCCTTTTCAAGGAAAAACAGTCCATGGGTTTTTTATCACACCAACAGGCCTTGCTCCAGYCCCCAGGACTCTGGCTCTTCTGTGACTACAGCAGCGTTTAATTTCCAAGGAAATTCAGTTTTAGGCRAAAAGCAATCTCGGCACCCCTGCCTGCTGCCACTTGCCTGCAGCATTCCACATCAGCTGCTGGAGGGAAAACGCAGCTGGGACCCCTGGGGAAGGCACACGGGCCAGGAGCTGCAGGAAGTCGAGGTGTTTGATGTTTGCTTTATTTATTTATGTAGCAGCCACCATCTCCTCGAGCATCCCCTTCTGCYGAGCAGCGATAAGCTGCTCCTGGTTCCTGCTTGCCCACCCCTGCTGGCTCTGTTTTCTGCCAGGTTCCATCTCTTTAGCAAGCACCAAAAACCCCCTYTTACATCTCTGCCAGGCTGCCCTGCCTCCAAAACACTGTCAGCGTGCCATGGAAATGACCAAGCAGGGAGGAGGATGCCATCGCCCCAGCTTTGTTTGCCCCCAAATACAAACCAATTATGGCAGAGCCTTTCCTATGGGCTGCCCCACACCGAGGGGACATTTGTTATCACGAACCAACCTGTCCCTTGTGGGGATGCTGGAGCTCCAGAAACATCGTTCTGGTGTTGAATGAACAGCAGCCCTCTCAAAATCAGGAGCTGGTGACTGCACACACAACCCCTGGGTTTCCATCCCAGCTGCTGCTCCACCCTGGGCAAGCAGCCCTGCTTTCACCGTGCCTGGGAACGGGGCTGGACAGGGCTGGAGAGGGCACAGCTCCTCCACAGGGAGCTGTAATTAATATTTGGAAGCTGCCAGGCTGCTCTGGCAATCCTAAGCTATCCACGTTGTGCCTGTGCCATTCACATCCCTCCTGCTTTGTGAAGCGTATTTATTATTATCTTTATTAATTACATACTGCAGTGCACTTAAAATAGGGAGGAGGGAGAAGGAGTGGACAGCACTTTGCCATCATGGAAAAGCAAACTGTTACATTTTGTACTTGTTGGAAGTAAAAAAATCATTCATTTCATGGAGTGTGAGATGCATTACTAATTGCACAATTATTTTGTTCCATGGCACTCGCAAAACAGAACTTGGAGTGCTTTCAGCAAATTCTGGTGCTGAGGAAATAATGACTTGGGTTTTTTTTAAAAAGTACTAAATTATATTCTCTTCCTTTATGACGGTTATTTCTTGGGTTTCTAGGATTTTTCTGCCCTAGCCCTTATAAAGATGTAAGAAGCAAAGCTTTGCTGCGTTAGCAATGTGCCGGAGTCRGGATGATGAGGAAAGGAAGGGGCTGAGCAGGGGCTGCCCCCTGCCCTCCTCCCCTCACCCCAACAGCAGCTGAGCCCTCTCTGACAGGGTCAGGCTGCAGGGGTCACAGCTTTCCCTTGAAGGACAGTCCCACAAAGCCAGGTGACACCTGACATGTAAAATTCATCCTGTGCCCTACAGAGGTGCCAGCAAACATCAGGAGTGCCCACAGCTGGAGCAGCTCTGCTCCCAGGGGCACAGGGGGGTGATGCAGGTGCTCCAGCTGTCCAGGGAAAAGCTGAGCAGTGGAACAGAGGGACAATGTTTGTTTGCTGTCAGTGAGAGGGACAGGGATGCAGCTGGAACACGGCAGATGAGTTCCTGTCCCAAGATGTGCACAGACTGCAGCATGCAAATGCTGCCAGGGAGGGGGATTGTGCACATCTTTAAATTCAGAGGCCCTAAAAGTTTTCCTGAGGTGAGAGGTGTGTCAGCCCCACCTCTGCAGTGCCAGGCTCTGCAGTGTGCCCTTCCTTCCACGGCTGCTCTGTGCCAGCCCAGCCTGCGTGGTCTCCAACTGCATCTCGTTGAGAAAAACTCAATTTAATAAACTATAAAATTAATGATATTGAAAAGAGTTCCGTGGGCTTCTTTCCTGTGTATTCCTCCCTTGCCACTCTCCCATCACACACACACAAAAATCCAACTGCTGGCCAGCCTCAGGTCTCTGCTCCAGCTCTGCCCTGGGGATGTGCCTGGCAGCAGYGAGAGCAATCTCACTCAGCTCAGCAGGTAAGCACAGATGTTTGGAAAACTAACCACTTCAAGAGGAGAAGAAAAATAAGTCTGTTTCTGTGAGATTGATCTGCTGGCACCAACAGAGCAATCAGCTGGACTTCTCGGAGAGCAGCAACAAACAGCAAATTAGAAGGTGTCAGCCTGCTGAGAGTTCAGGCAAATTAGAAAGCAGAAATTGTCTCAGCAGTGGCTGGCTGGGCTAGGGCAGCTTCTTGTGGCCCTGCAAGGCAGCC